TTATGAAACGATAAGACCGTTTTGCAGATACAAATGTAAAGATGTAACCTGCCCACTTCCTGATGCACCTCGACTAACATGATCATCTCGACAATCAACTCCAGGTGTAGATGATCCACCAGACCTCGCATTGGAGATTGAAGTACCACAATCTCCAAGGCAATCTCTAGAACCACCTGCAACACAAAGAAAATGTGGTAATTGTGGTCAATTTGGTCATAATAGAAGAACTTGTCCATGTAATCAGTAAATGAATAACAGAAATGAGTTTGTGTAATGCACATACTATTGATCCCCTTTCAACAGGAGGAACTAGTTTGTCAACAACAAACAGACTATTGATCCCCTGAAACAGGAGTGGAACTAGTTTGAATGCCAAATATTCAAACTATTGATCCCCTAAAGGAGAGGAACTCGTTTGTAACGCTAAGACATACAAACTATGGATCCCCTTTTTTGAAAACAAAGGTGTCGAACTAGTATGTGCGTGAGACATCAACATAAACACAAACACTCATTTTTGTTTAAAACTCACTAACTCAAAAGAGAAGGCCCGAGAGAAAGTTAGTCACGAAGTTATCATGCAGGTGATTTGTGTTTATCTGTACAGGTGAGAGGACTGATGATAAAATGTGTGGGAGGAGAATACCGAAATAGAAGTTATTGCGTCATTCACAGCCAATCAAAGAACACCAAGTGTCACCTGTGACCTTTAGGATATAAAATAAAACACCTGAAACTGTAAGTTCAAATCAAAAAGTAAAGGCTGCCCCAATAGAGGATTTCCTCATTGAGGTCCATCCATCTAATGGTAAGTTGGGAATGTGTAACCCTATAGTGATAACTATAATGCCTTTTGTTTTTGGTAGATGAACTTGGTAAGTTGTTGGTACATGTATGTTTGTGTTGTACATTAAAAGCAAAAAATAATTGTATTGATAGCAGAAAAAGATGAAGTAAGGGTGAAAGAGACGAAAGGAGACAGAGGAGAGAGGACAGAGGAGATGGGGGACAGAGACAAAGAGGAGGGTGGAGATAGTCAAAAGGAGAATGGTAAGATTAAAAGGTGAAACATACAACTATACATGACATTGTTTTTAATGGAATCAAACGGCTTAAGTAATTTTATTTACATGTGTAATTGTGTGATAATTTTTGTTGTGAAGTAGCTATGAGAAGGACTATTAAGCTAAAAAGTAATTTTGCATTCAATTTTAGTTAGTTCTATTTGCAACAAATAGGCAAGAAGGAAGGCCCTTAGGTAATTAAACAATAGTTGAATTACTTGTACTTTAAATTCACATTTCTTAACTAAAGACTTGGAACAGTTCAGGCCTGCTCTTTGAAGTAAACTTAATTTTAAGTGTAAATTAAAGGCTTTATGCCATTGTAATTTAGGGCAGTTGGAACTCATTGAAGGGGGCTGGAGGGAGAGGAGGGGGAGTAGTGAGGAGATGGGAGAAGAAATAGAGACAGGGGAAGAGACAGAGACAGGCGAGGAGACAGGTACAGGAGAAGAGACTGGGACAGGGACAGAGAGAGACAAAGGAAAAAAATTTAAAGAATCAAAAGAGCATTATTGAAATGAGTAATCACTAGAATTTTTCCTTTGCTTAGAGAAAGCGAAGGCAACACAGAGGAGGGTGGGGTATAGGTGGAAAGCGTGAAAGGAGGGAGGGGAGGAGGCCAAGGATGTAGAGGGGAGGCCAAGGAGGAACAGGAGGAGCCCCTCGTCCAACAGTAAGGAAAGGAACATAATGCAACATAAGAATAACAATAATCTTTTATAGGATTCATCAGCAAGTGCTAAAACTATAAAATATTTTAATGTTAAATGTAGAAACCTTAATTATAGTTCTAAATAAAATCTAAATGAAAATATTACCTGTAAACTCAAGCAGAAGCGATGTCTGGATGTAAATGACCAAGATGATGTTATTACAGTTTACAAAAAGGACTTTATTGGCACTAGAACACATAGCAATAACTCTACAACTTTTGTAATGAAATAACTTACTTGTATTTGAAGTCTCAATGCATGGCTGGGCTTTAGATCACTCTTAAGATGTCCAAAAAGCAAGAAAAGTAAGTTAAAATGCTGTCAAGTGCTTCTTTCTTCTTTACCCGTTTATTAATTGATGTGGGTGTGGTTTACATGGTAGGCGTGGTCATATTTACTACGTGAATGGGCGTGACACGGAAACATTGAAAATAACTTAAAATGCCTTTTTCTCTGTACTTGTATTCCAGAGCAATCGTCCAAACAGCGTCCCTAACTGCAAAGTTTTATTGCACAGTGTCATAAGTGGGATATTGCTGGAAAGGAAATTTTTTTCTCTATCTGTAAGTACCAAAATTGATTTTACCAAATCCCGCAGATAGCCTGGTTTTCTCATATCGGGTCACATATGATTGTGGAGCATTATTTTCTCTTTAATATTGCATTCAGCACAAATTAATGTTAGGATAAGTGTTGGTGAGCCATACTGAGCAATC